CCAAAAACCGCCCCAGCTACTCGGTCACAGACATTTTGCCCTGGCAACTTTGTTCATAGACAAGATACAGTATCCCGGATAGTATCATTTCAAAGTACTCGTCGAGTTCTATCGTATCTATTCTATTGTAGAATCAAAAAAAGTGGAACCTGAAAAATTTCGCGGGCGGCTTCCCGGTCAATTTTCGAGGCCTTGTCCCTGTAACACTACGGTAGTAAACGAAACTTATTTCTGTGAATTTAGTGGGATTTTCTGAACAAAATTTAGATTTCTTGGTATGAAAATGATCGCTAGCATCTCTAGAATCTGTTTTTCATCGAAAAACCGAACTTAATTGCGAAAGTAGCTCGAACGAGGCGAAACTCTGAAATATTACGTTTTTGCCGCACTTTTTTGTAGATCAAAAAAAGCTACGCCTTTAAAATTCTCAGGTCCCACTTTTTTAAATTCGACAATAGTTGGTATGAAAATATTGATTTTAAAAGAAACTATGAGGTATGAAAATAACCTTACATTAAAAACAAAGAAAGTGAGTGGGAACATGACACTGGATATCGAATCGATGCGTTCTGGTGTCCAACATCCCGTTCCACACGAATTCAGAGATTTTGAAGATTCGGTGCATCCGGGAGGAAACATGAAACGACGTTCGGAGATGATGCCGTGGGGAGATTCTTCACGCGATGGCTGGAAATAGTTAAATGGGGGCAAACAGTGTTAGATATGGAACTACCAGTATATTTGCAGGTCACCCAGATACAGATCGCCCGTATCCAGGTTACCCGGCCAAGGTAACCCGAATCCAGGTCACCCAGATACAGGTCGCCCGGATCCAGGTTATCCGATCAAGGTCACCCGGATCCAGGTCACCCGGTCAAGGTCACCCGGATCCAGGTCACCCGGATCCAGGTCACTCAGATACAGGTCACCCGGATCCAGATCACCCGGTCAAGGTCACCCGGATCCAGGTCACCCGGATCCAGGTCACCCGGTCAAGGTAACACGGATTCAGGCCCCAGGCCCCAGGCCCCTTCTCCGGGCTCACCTCTCGGGAGCCCCGAGAAAAGGAGAACTGATTATTCCTTTGTTTCTCTCTTCTTTTATATTACTCTCCCAGAGGTCAATGGTTTCTAAACCAAATCACGTAGTTGTTTTTTTCTAGAATTTTAAAAATTTCTTTCGAAGCATTTTTTGCAACGGGGTTTCTTTTTTTTTAAATTTTTTTTTCATCGCGTTTGAATAAACTGGAATTTTCATTTTTGAAATCTGTGAAATTCCTTAAAAAGATCGTTCCTTTGAGCACCGATCTATAAAACTTGAGAAAGCGGAATTCAATTAATTCTGAGGTTTAAAAATGTCTGAATTCCTCGAGTTTTATGTTAAAAGGGTCGGGGGACATGAAAAAAATGTTCTCGAAAATCCGTTCATATCAGCCCCTCGAGGAGTTGAACTTGTGAGGGCGATGATTGAGGGTGCGGCGCCGCTACCGACTGAGCCACGCGGGCGAAGAGAAAGCGGCCGCCCGATTGCATACAAAAAGGCGAGGACGACAGCTGTACGCAGAGTGACATTAAGCGTTGTACACCGTCACGGTAGAATGCATACTCTGGCTTCAAAAATCCTCCGAAAACGCTCCTGTTTCCCCACCTTTAAAGTAGATCATACTTGTGATGGTTATTCAGAATTAAATAATCTGTCATTTGAACATTTTTCTTTTTTTTCAAAACCAAAAATTACTGTTTCCATTGTAAGCCTTTATTCTAATTCAAATTGTGTGTGCGCTCTGAGTGAGACACTGTTGTTATTTGGGTAGAGAAAATCTTTAGGTGGGATCGGAGGACAGTTTACACAGTTTCAAGTGTTTTGTTTGGTTTCTTGGAGTAACATATACTGTTACACATAGTGATGATTCATGGACGAATGTGACTCAACCGATTTGCAGACATCCGCTGTTGGAAGAAATGTTACTCGTAAACTCGCTCAAAAGCTCTTTCAAAATTCTAGCTTTCTATTTTTTTCCAGATATTATATTTTTGCTCTGATCCTAAACATCAACTCACATTTCCCGAGATCTTCTTCTGCTGATTCTTCTTCTTCGCCACTGTCTCATCTCGAACCATAAATCCGACAATCGCCAATTCCAGAAGAGAACAAAAAATGAATGTCATCGATACCAACATCCAAACGTCTGAAAACATACTACCTTTTTTTAATTTTATTGATGATTAGCGCTCTAAAAGTGAGGCCTCTATAACGTTTAACTTTGAGCATTTTTATCTCAATTCCTGTAAATTATATCAAAAATGGCCGACTGACAAACTATTTCAGCGATTATGATAAACAATTTAACAATTGAAATTGTTTTGATATCAACCGAGATAAATTGGCCCAGGTTAGAGGGCCCTTCCATTACAGGACTTACGGTAACTCTATTAACACCAATACCATTCGAGAGAGACTGGAGAAATCAAAAAGTAGAAAATTTTAATGATAAATCAAAATAGTGAAACTGTGATTCTTGACTTTCTAGTGCAAGAATTTAGGATTTTTCGAATTATCGTTGTCTCACCATCGTAAAACCCGGGATAGAAGAGTCTGTCAACTTCGACCCAATTTATTTCAGCTGTCAAAAAACGTTTAACTGATAAAATATTTCTGATACTGTGCTAAATGTTTTGTTAGTTGGCCACTTTTTGATATCCAATACAAGAAACGAGAAAAATGACTCAAAAAAATATATCTCAAAAAAGTTTTTCCGCTTCTAATTCCTTTTACATTCTAAGACTTGTCTTCTGGTTACTACGCTGGTCTCACAGTTTCTAATCTTACCAATCCCTTTGATATACGAAACTCTTGGTAAGTTTCTCATAATATTTCCAAATTGAAAAACAATTGCCAGAAGACTGTTGACACCGAGCATCGTTCGAGCTGGAATGGCTCGCGAGCCGAGAGCAAATGATACCCAACTGAAGAAAGAATACATTTAAAATTTAAATTTTAAAGTTTCATGGACTCTTTGAATATGTCGACTGGGTTTTTTCTTGAATTTTTCTTCGAAATATCATGTTTTCAGAATATACGTTTGTAAGTTATAATAACAATAAATACTGGTAGTCCATAAAAAAAATCGGCTATATGATTATAATGGTATTTTGAGAAATGGGAGGTATTTTGAGAATATCATGGTAGTTTGAGAATAAGATAGTATTTTGAGAATTGAATAGTGTTTTGCCTCATTTTCAGTATTTTGATAATTTTTACAGAATTAAGATCGTACTAATCTGTTAACTATAGTTTCAAGACAACTTTGCATTTTTTTTTTCACTGTTTTCAGCATTCATTTGCTTGTTCCTCTTTCTGAATGATCTCTACTTCACTTGGAGATTACGGTACTTCACTTGGAGAAATACTCTCAAAATACCTCTATTTTCTCAAAATACCATTACAATCATACAAAGTCATATAAAGTCATATAGAGCCAATAAAATTATCGCGAAGCGATTTTTTTCGTTACATTTCAGACATTGTTGAAAAAGAAAAAATTATCGCAGAAAAGTCGTATAAAATGCCATTAGCCCTCACAATCAGTTGTTATCCAAAAGGGACGAGGATTTCCTAGTCCACGACCACACGATCACCATTCCTTTACAGCTATTTTTCGCTCATTTTTGGGAAAAATACCCAAAAAGCATCCTTAAAATTGGTATCTTGGCTTCGAAAAAATAGTGGCCTTACACTAATACTAAAAAGTCCTCGTCTGTTTTGAACGAATTCTGAAAGACGCTCTTATTTTCAACCGCATTTTTCATTTTTGAATTTTTAGTAACGATATTTACCCAAGGCTCGTAGCACCCAATATTGGTCCAAAACTTTTCCGTTTATCTAAAAATGATGAAACCGGCAAAAATTTTTATTTGGAACCATAGAAGTTTTGGAAATGCGGAACTTTAATGTTGAATTCAGGTATTATAATAAGCACAATTCAAGAACCCAAAATCACATTTTTCGAACTCACCTAATAAAAATAGTCAAGTAAGTTGGTAGATATGCTTGCATGAAATACCAAATGAATCGTCTTTCAAATATTATTGTCACATGCAACTCGTCCCACATTCCCGCTGGGTAGTTCTGCAAAAATTATTGGTTAGAAGTTTGAAATTTATTTTGCAGTTTCAGATATTTTATTTTCTTTTGAAGTTTTTGTTGATTTTGATGATTGTATACGTTTAGAACATTCATGAGTGTTTTTGTTCTCCTTAAAACTGTAAACACAAACTTGTACCGCGTAGCTAAAGAGATTGCTCACCTCTTGCTTCCTTTCCGTTTGAATTTCGAACAAATCAAAGTCAGGTAACACGATTTTTATAAATTGAAAACCGGATATTCTGCATCTGACCACTTCATTTCGACTTCTTGTCGATTATAGTTGAAACTGGAAGAAAATAAATAGGAACACAGGGTAACGGCTGCACATGGTATATGCGTTGGCGCGGCGCCTCATATGGACGACATAGGTACACCGTTTGCGCGCACGCGCCATCGAGATCGGACATGCCGCTTCCATATTTCATCTACAATTTCAGGTCGTATTGGCGATGGATATCTCTTATATGGATTAATTTATCTAACTATAGTTGTAATAAGATGTGATTTTGTTCAGATCTTCCAATATCGTTCATTTTCCCTTTCAGATTTTACAGAGTGACCATTTTTCCAGTTTTCACAGAATTTTCTCACAGCAAGAAAAATTATGGCAGGAAGTTTAAAATATCTGGATGATATAACATAATAAATTTTTCCTTCAAAATTGCGATATAGAAAACTTGAAAAAATTCAACAAAGTTTTGAAATTGGCATTAATTCGCATAATTTTGTTTTCGAAATAATTTTGTGTTTCTCGGATTTTTTCCTGCTTTTACTTCGTAATAATTGGAAAACTTACCAACCAACCTGTATTTCACCTGAAAAATATATTATTCCGCTTATTCCGAAGTAAAACAGAAAAGTCCTAATTTCAAGAAAAACAGGATTTTGTAAAAAATTTTACCTATTTCTTTACTAAAAATAAGTTTTATTTTCGATTTTTACATGTGAAAACAGTGAGAAGCTCTTTGAAAGCAGGAAATATGATCAATATGATCGAAAAATTGATCAAGATCGGCGGTGAAAAATTTTGCTAAACAACGCGCACTAGCATAATAGCGAAGTGTCGTTGGTGGGTTGTCGTTTTCATGGGAAAAGCGTGCATGCTATATGGATGCTATATGGGTGCGCCCACCGGCGACCAGTCGTGCCCAGCGACGACGCACATAGCGCGCACGCGCTACCCACGGAATTATTATGGGTGCACATAGCATCCTATATGCGCGCCTAGACATATACCATGCGCAGCAGTTACCCTGGGAAGCTTTGACGGATGTTTTAACTCTTCAAATAAATATTTCTAGGCCATCTGGGGTTAGGCTATCATCTTAAATGACCTAAAAATCCTTCTGAATAACGGTAAGCCACCGTAATACATACTCTATAAGGAAAAACTGCTCCATTTTCTTACCTTTCATATATCAAACTACACTTCTGAAGATCCAGTGGGAAATTGGAGAGATCCAAACTGCAAGGTCCTTTCACTCTGACTCGATAGTTCACCATAACCGTTCCGTTAGGGAATAACATCAGGAATACACTCCTGGAATATTATATCTTTTTTCTGTTTCAATTGCAAGGTTAGTATGAGTGAATAATTTACTTCTTCAATGCTACTACAATGGCATCTTTTTTTTTTACCTGAACGGAGAATTATGAATTTGAGCCACTTTGCTGTTAATGAAGCAACTGTTCGGTGTCCACAGTCTATCCAATACTTGATGATTCAGTGAAAGATTTCCTGAAATCAGTTTTTATTATTTTCAAGCGTTTCTAGAATTTTCCAACCTACCTTTACAGGGACTCATATGCTGAAAATTCAAAGCTGGATCCAACCAAGTCTCGGTTATATAAATATCCATATCAAAGTCATTCGTCAACTCATCGATTGACGTAATCGCTTGAATCCATATCTCCACGACTACAGTCATTCCTTCTTCTTCTGAAAAATCCAAAATTTCGGAAACAGAAACTTCCAGAATTATTTTTACGCGGAATTCGAAACTTGTTGTATCCTGTTCCATTGAGCAGTCTATCAATGATATCAGTGTCTCGAGTGCAGTTTAGTTTTCGAGGTTTGAAGGACTTGTGATCGAGATGAGATGGTGATAAAGAAGAGGAAGAGGATACTGAAAAAATTACAGTTTCTAAAATGTTTAGTAAACTGTTTAATTGATAATATTGTAATGAAACTTGCTCAATTTTGGTTTAAAAAAAAACATTCAAAAGGTACCTTGGAATTCAAAAGGTACCTTGGAACAATAGAAGGGCCGGCCCTTCTAATACAGGTTTTACAGTAACACCAACATATACTATAATTCTTCATTAGAAGAAGCGGTCTTTCTTTTTTTTTTCTTCATAAAACTGCATACATTTTAACGAAATTTATCATGTTTTTAAGCAAAAAAGAGCGTTTTAACCGATATTTGGAATATTTTTCACATTTTTGACGAAGCTCCTCTATGAAAGGAGCTTTTCTTTTACAAGTTTTACGGGGTCCTGGACGTTTCAGAAACCGACAGTTCAGAAACCCGACGGTTCAGAAACCGACAGTTCAGAAACCTGACGGTTCAGAAACCGACAGTTCAGAAACCTGACGGTTCAGAAACCGACAGTTCAGAAACCCGACGGTTCAGAAACCGACAGTTCAGAAACCCGACGGTTCAGAAACCGACAGTTCAGAAACACGACGTTTCAGAAGCCAATGTATTAGAAACATGAGTAAATGAGTATATTCAAATAAGTATTGCTCATTTTGAACTGTAGAATTTATAGCAGATACTCATTAGCTTCATGATTTTTTACTAAATATTAGCTAAGTGCTAACCATGCTCATTTGCTTAATAGAGGGTTTGTTCAAATTGAAGGCTTAGACTGAAACTCCTTACCGGAAAACAGGCGTTTTATCCAGCCTAAAATAGAAAAAAAAAACCCGGAATAATCTGGAAAAAAAAGAAAAAAGTGGAAACTTTGTTGTTATTTGGGAATTCCAGTCCTTTTTGACTGAATTTTTTCAGAATATACCGGTTTTCGTTTTTTTTTTCATAAAAGCTACAGTTCAAAATGATCAATACTTATTTGAATATACTCATTTACTCATGTTTCTAATACTTTGGCATCTAAAACATCGTGTTTCTGAAATGTCGATTTCTGAAACGTCGGATTCTGAAACGTCCGGGAGCCGTTTTACGATATTTAAAAATTCAGAATTATCTTTTTGTGACTAAAAAAATACAGAGAAACTAAAAAATTCAAAAATCACTGTTTAGCAATTTTGATATTTTAACATTTTGAAGACCTTAATCACCATTGGCGCCGTATATATAACGTTCCGGGTTCTCGAAAAATCCCAATTTTTCAAAAGAAATTAAAATTCTAAACTTTTGTCCATTTGTTTCGAAATTTCAAATTTAATCCTAAAATGATGTATAAGTTTCGGTGAAACAAGTTTTTCCAGGCTCGTTACAGATTATTTACGAAAAAAACTTCTGAAAGTTTGAAAGAAACCAGATCAACTTTGATAAAAAAAATACAATTTTATTTCATCTTTCATTAATTGGTTGAACAGCCGTTATCATCTTACATGCTCGATGTAAGCGCAAGTAAAATCCGAACTGGTATTATTGTTTTACGTCTAATACTTTATCTTAAAAATCAAATTGATGTTCTGAAAAATTTAGATTTTTAGGTCTGAAATTTAGGGTTCTGAAAATGTAGAAAAACCAAAAATGTCCGAATGTAAAAAAAAACATTTTTTGGATGTACGGAGAATTCCAGAGTCCTAGCTGTCTGGATTTTAAGTTGAAGACGAAACAGAAAATATTTTTGCTTCTCTGTATAGGAAACGATAAGGCTTATCGTTATTTGTTTTTGAATTGCCTGAGAAATTACCGTAACCACCCTGGAAATTTCATAAAACTGATGGAACTGAATCGGAAAAAAATAGAAATGTTTAGCTTTAATGAAAAAACTTAATCAAACAGTAATTTTTGATACTAGTTTCTAATTGATTATTTCAGATGTTTTATCGTTCGAATACATAAAAAGGTATCGGAAGCAAAAACTGAAATTGAGAATTCAATAAAAGGATTCTCTATTTTACATTCCAAAAATATGAAATTCTTACCCAACTCTGCCGAATTCACCAATTCCGAGTAGTCCAATTCTGAAGTGATAATGAGAACGGGTAGAGTTGATAATAGAGTAAATATCATCTGAAAATCGGAAATTCAAAAGATTTTTTTTGCAAATGGATATTTAAGAGTGTTCCATAAGAAAATTTACAAAAAAGAGGAAGGACATATATGTCAATGTGTCAATTCGATACGAAAACTAATGAAAAAAGAAGATTCTTTGAATAAAAAAAGATCAGTGGTGACTAAATTTTCCTTACAAGGTTAGGGAGCTTCAAAATTTATATGTATTATCTCGTTTCTACCACTGGAGGATTAAAAAACATGTTGATGAAGTTAGTTTAATGGACTTCATAAAACAGAAAATTCAATAAAGTAAACGCATTCGAAAAGAGGAATAGCCCCTCACATGCATCGGTCATCGGAAATGAGAAATATGAGGTCATGATTTGAAAAGGAAGAAAAATATGGAAAAAGAGAAATGGAGTTTTAGAATAAAGACCAAAAAGCTTGGAAATGAGCTTTTTTGATTATTTTTAATTCAATTCTTAATCTATGATGTTAAATACCAAGAACTAATTCAAATTGAATTATTCTCTATTTGAAACCAAAAAAATAGGTTATCCCATTTTCAAAGATTGATTTGCAAGGGAAACTTTTGCTAATTTTGAAAATTTGCCGTTCGATTTTTGGACAGTAGATTACCAAGAATGACTATACTTTGTATAATTTATAATTTATCTACTACTTGAAACATAAAAAATTGACATGAAGAAAAAACATTCAGTTTCAATTAGCCAATTTAAGACATACAAAAAATTCAAAATATAAATCTGACACAAACAGTGGAGCACTACCGTAACTTCAAATCCATTTATGCAGGCTTTTTAATTTCGGTTTTCAAGCGTTTGCAGGCAATTTTTTTCACTGAACACTTGACGGAAAGCTTTTAGGTTACGGTAGTTGTCGTTGTGGAATCATCGCGCCAGAATAATAATAAGAATCATGGAAACCAAGAATGAAAACATATGTTCCGGATTTCCCAAAACATAACCCAGTTTTGAAACAGAAACTCAAGGTGCTTTTAAGACACCAAAATTGACTATTTTCCAGTAAAACGTTTTCGCAATAACATAGTCAGACAATACTTCTTGAGTATTCAAGAGAATAATCCGACAAAAATAATGAGGTTACTTAGCTAACTAATTTTTCTACTAGCTATTGCTCTAACTTTTCTGAAGTTCCCAAATAAAGCATACTTGGTAACGGGC